CGGAGCGGCGCGGCGCAGCCCGGCACGGCCCGGCGCAGCTCGGCTCAGCCGCGGGAGCAGCCCGGCAGCGCGCCCCGCTCCGCTCGGCCCGGCGGCCGCCGCAGCCGGCAGCATCGCGGCGGGACCGCCCGGGGATGCGGCCGCGCTAAGAACAAAAGCCCTCTCCGCGGTCACGCTTCGGGGTTTCGAAGCGCGGCGGGGAAGGGGCCCGGCCCGGGCAAACTTGGATCGCTGCCCCCTCTTCGGACTCTCCACGGCGTCCGGATCGAGCCGCCCGAAGCTTCCCCGCACGCCGCGGGCAGCGCCCGAGAGACCGTCGCCCCCCGGCCGCCGGCCGTCCCGCCGGGGCTGCCCGGACCCCGCTCCGCCCGGCGCCGGGGCCCCCTCCGCCGGACCTTGGCTTTGCCCTTCGCGCGGCAGGTGGCGGGGCCAGCGGAGAAGGATGCGTTTCTTCCCGTGGGGATTTTGGCTGCTGTGTGTCGCCTCCGCCCCGGCTCGCGGTGACAGCGGCAGCAAGGCGAGGAGCTGCGCCGAGGTCCGGCAGCTGTATGGGGCCAAGGGCTTCAGCCTCAACGGCGTGCCCCAGGCCGAGATCTCCGGTGAGTCCCGCGGGGCGGAGGGGGCCGCGGCCGGGGCTGGGGGTGGGGGACTCGGGGCGGGCCGGAGTTTGGAGCGATGAGTCGGAGCCGAGCGGTTCGTGCCGAGCTCGTTGCGGTGCTCCTCTGTCCGCACGGGGGTCGGGCGGTGCGCGCGGGTTTGCAGCGGCGGAGCGCGGGGACGGGGTGCGCGCAGCGTGCGATCCGCGCCTGCGGGGCGCTTTCATTGTCTCTTTTCTTCTGCTTTGAGCGCGGCTGAAAGGGTTTCGGGATTTGGGTTTAGAAAGCAGAATAGTCAAAAAGAAATGGGACTGGGAGCTGGGAAATACCACAGGGTTATGGGAGAGGAGGATCGCTTGACTTAGTCTTTTGGATGGGCTGCAAAGCCAGAAAGGGCGTTTGTCAGTAAAAATGAAACGCGAGAAAGACGACCGTGTATCAAGTTTGTGCAGCGCGGAGGGAAGGCTGAGCAGCCTGCATCGGTGTGCGTTTGGTTTTGTGGCTGCTTTGAGAAATCCTGGATGATTTCTTTTTCCTTACAGAAGATCTGTGAATTAGCGAAGAATACTCTGAGTCTGGTTTGTTGCTGGTTTGTTTCTTTTTTTGTTGGACTTTTTCCCCCCAACTCTTCTGTTCATTTCCCTTCCTCTGAGAGACAAAAATATAAGCTCAGGGCAGATACTGAGGCTTTGTTGCTTTTCTTTTATAATTCACGTACAAGTTTTGATACACTGACACGTGACCCATATCTGAGAGCTTTCCCCCCACTTGTGGGAGCTTCCTTCTACAGACAAAGCATAAAACATGCAGGCGTACGTGCTGAAGCCGACCCACAGGGACACCCCAGGAAGACTGCAGTTTGTAGTTCACGTTTAAGCTACAGAACGCCCTATGTGGAGCGTTTCATTGCATTGTTTTCCAGGGGAACAGATTAGGGATCCGACCTGCGAATGGATAAGGCTGAACCGTATAAATATCTCACAAATGTGAACAAATTAATACTTTTTTTGTCAAGAAACCGAGACTGAATTTCCAAAACAAAATGAGCAGTCCTTGAGGTGAAACAGCAGGCAATTTCAAAATCGTTTGAGCATCACTATTAATGGAACAGTAATTCCGTTAAGCAAGAAAGTGGCTTCTTATAAATTTGCATCTCATTATTACAGTCACATTTCACGTGGGAAGTCCTTGGAAGGCTGACTGGGATGGCAGTGACACTGTGTGCAGCAGCAGCACCACAAGGGCAGGCACAAGGCGTCCCAGCACTGTGCTTGCAGGTGTCCCACGTCAGCAGTGTGTGGATCACCGTGTCCCCTCCAACCACTGCCATTCAGAAGGTGACCAAGGGCACCAAGATTTATAGGAACCAGGAGTTTTATTTCCGAAGGGCTTGGAACACCTTAAGGAATAGTATGTAAAATTGCAGCATCTAACTGGACATCTCTAAGTGTTGCTTTACAGGGAAATTAGAGATAAGTGCTGTGAAAAAATGAGGAATGTTCCTGGTAAGTAATACGAAGAAGTACCTACGGGGAAAAAGGTTCCATATATCAACAGCAGCAGGTCTCTGTTATTAGCCCAGTCTTAACAATTGCTAATGGAGTTGATGATTTTCATAGGTAATTATTTTCTGTACCTGCTTGCTGATAAACATCCAGGAATGGCCTTTTCTGTTGGTGTGGTACTCACCCAGTGCACTTAAAGCCGGAACTGGAGCACAGTGCTGTGTGAGCTCCGTGCTTCGCAGCAGCTGTGCAGATAGGGCAGGAGGTAGCGCTGGTTTTGCTGTCTCCTAAAGGAAGAATCTCAAGCCCTTCCTGTGGTGTCCCCACATGTAAGTATGGTATCGTGCAGTTCAGAATCTGTCGTTCAGCTGGACCACGCGCACTGCTGTCCTACCAGCCCAGCTGCACACTCTCCAAGACTTGGTTTCCCAGGGGTTAGTGTGTTCCAGGCTGAAATGGCCGTGTTTGTGTTGGTTTTAGCTTCTTTATGTACTCCACACTTTCTAATCTGTATTCTTTGTTATGATTTAAGAGCATGATGAGAAACACGAAGTCCCCACAACTCAGCAGAAGGTGGTACAGGTCAGTTGTACCATGATGTGGTTATTAGCTGGGTAGCAGGTGGACATCTGGTTCAGGGATAGGCTCTTGGCATACCACGTTTCTCATGGAACACTGCTAGTGTTTCTGCTAACATTGTACATGGTGACACATCTAAGTGCTTTAAATGTGTTGGGTACCATTCTTAAGTGTGTTTAGGGAACATGCTATATCTCATTACTTTGAAGTCCATGGCAAAACTCCCAAACACGAAAGAAGTATCTTCTCATATTAGTATTCCTGACAGGCCTGCATCCACTCAATTCTCAGGGGCAGATTTGTGCAAGAGGAAGTTTCTGGTGCTTGGGGAAGTGCTCCCTACTGTTGGATTTGGGAAAGTTACCCCATGTACTTCCCTACACCAGACTAACTCGAGCTAAGTTTTCCTGTGCACAGTATTGTTCCTGCCCACTGGCTGGGTGACCCACACTCCCCTTCCAAGATTTCTGAAAAATACATGAAAATGGTTCAAGATCTATCAGTTCTTCTGTTTTGTCTTGATTCTGCTGGCAAACATCTATTTCTGCTTTCCCGTTCTTGCTACGTGTGTGCTATCGCAGGTCCCCTGAGTTGTGACTGGACTGGATGTACCCATTCGGGCCCATGCTGGAGGGCTGGTTGTCTTGGGCTCATGGTGAGGTTTGTGATGAGAGAGAGTCCCTGCAAGAGTTCTGTCTTTGGGGAGAGCATCCAGCTGTCACTGCTGCCTTGCCGGAGTTCTTAGCATTGTTGGCGTAGGATGGATGATGCTCTGCAGTGTTTCAAGCTGAGGTAGTTCTACCTCAGTTGAGAATACTTGAGAATTGTGATTTGATGTGGATGTGCTTGGCCCTCGCTTTGACTTGTTCATTGCTGTGATTAATCCTTGGGCCTGCCTTACCCTGAGGTTGAAGTGCTTGACACAGGGATGAATGTAATACACTAAAAGAAGGGCACAGAAGAAACCCAGGCAGCATCACTGCTGATCCAGTTATGTATTTCAGGATTGTGCTTCCCCAGTTCCTTTGCTGAAAGTAGGTCGAACAATTTGTTTTCATCTTCCGGTCCTTTTAGGCTGCATAATTCTGTTTTGTAAGGAAAACATTGTCAAGTGCATGTGTAAAGAGTTGTTTGGAGGAATGTTAGATGAGTAAAGAACAGGTCTGGCTGCAAGGCTGGACTTGACAAGGCTTTTGGAATGTGAAGGTGGTGATGGAAGCCAATACTGGTAGCATTTTAAATTCTGGCAGCTGCAGTATGAAAGGCATAAATACAAAGATGGACAAACCTGTGCCTATGGTACAGAAAATAAATTCGGGGCTCCTCCTTTCCCAAGGAAGGGTATGTGCCACAGGATTGGAAGGGGAGCCTCTCTGAGGTTGTGGTTGGGCTTGGTTTGTAATCACACAGGGCAGGAACAGTGGCTCAAGGCCAGCTGCTGTGTGGGAGCCCCTGGGTGCAGTCCCAGCCTGTGTGCGCTCATGGATTTAAGGACAGATCGGAGTCGCCTCTTTAGCCTGCTGTGCTTGGGAAATTATTCCTGGTGAATCAAAGCACGCTCAATTTTGAGAAATCCTCCATTTGGCAAATACGTTGGTGTTAATGTTGGAGTAGGCTTTGCTTGAACTGTGCAACTCCCTTTTCATATAACTTATGCAAGTTTAAAATAAAATATACATATTCATACACACTTTGTGTTAATTTGTCAGTTGAGAATGTGTGCATACAAAACAATTTATGAAAATCAGATTTATGGAGAAAAATGGGCTCCCTCTGGTGGCTTGTTGTGCCTCGGAGCAGCACGTGCCGGCGCACCTCAGCACTGCTACATTTGAAATTTGGAAAGCTTTGTGCTCAGATATTGATGAATCATAGAATCACCAAGGTTTTCTGTTGGTGATGTTATTTTTCAGAGAATCTGCTTCTCTGTCACGGCAATATGAATGACTAAGCTCTCATCACGTAATTATCCTTATCAGCTTGTCTGACAAAACTATTTCAGCAGCTTCTTTTGTTGGTGAAGCAGAACACGATGAAGACTGATGTTTCCCAGAAAATGTGTGTGCCTGCATAGCTGGAGATACCCACACACCAGCACCTGTGAAGCTGCAGTGCTCACTTTGGCCCTGCCTTTCCTGTTGTTGCCCTGTTGGTGCCTGGCTTTGCAGAGCAGATGCCAGTCGTTCTCTCTGCGCCGGCTGCGTTTGGGGGGAGACGCATGGCTTCTGGCAGGGCTTGTGAAGCTGTTGGTTTAATGTTGTGTTGCTGTCGGTACAATTGTCTCACATTGAGAGGACAGGATAGATGTATTCCACTGGGTAATTTCAATAATTAAGTGTGATTTGACTTAACTAAAGAAGGGAGGGAGCTGCTATCTTGATTATCAAAAATGTGTGTTTAGAGCCAAAGGTTTTATTTCCCTTGCAGAGCACAGTGCTGCAAGGAGGGGGCATGGAGCACTTACCCATCAGCAGCAGCTAGGCACAGGCTCTGCACCATGCCTGTTGCTGCATGCTGGACTGGGGGGGGGAGCATCACACTGTATCAGGTCTGGTACGGAAGGCGAAGGCAGGATGGAGTAATAAGTAATAAGTAAGTTAGGTCAGCGTTATGCTGTGTTTTTCAACACTTCTCCTCCATGTTTTTACTGCCTGACTGCAGTATAAGAAGGGAAGAGTGGTTTTGTAGCAGCCTGGGGGGCAGATGCACCTTCACTTGTGTGATTGCATGGAACGAGACAGGGCTGACACTCATTGTCCTCAAATCCTCCTGGAAAATGTTGCATTTGTGCTTTCCTGTCTGTTCAGTGAGAATTGTTAGCATCCTCCTGACAGCCGTGAGAGCAGGTCTGTCTCACTGTGATGGGACAAGACCTGGAGAAGTGGGACCCTAAACGCTGCAGGAAGCAGCAGAGGATTA